GAAACGCGTTGTTTTGTGTAACGATGGGATTTTGCGGGACGAGCGAAGCGAGATCCCGCAACATCACAGAGTTACACAAAATGGCGTTTCCTAACGTGTCACGTACAATATTTTTTCTAATTTTGACGAAACATTTCGCATGAACAAAAATAATGACCAGTTTTACATGAGTTCTGCCGACTCTTGTTGTGTGAAATGAATGAATGAAATGAACATTACATCACCAGTTATGTAAAATTTTACTTTACGCAACTGGTTACGTAAAGTAAGACGTTTCAAAACTTCCGTCAGTTTTGAAAAGTGTCACATTACATGTCAAAATTAGAAAAATGTAATTTTGCCAACTTGTCTCATTCATATCTAACATAGTTGTCACTGAAAGTTCACGATTGTAATTTTCTGATATCACCTGAGGTCCTTAGATTAGTTTACTTCCGATCATGGTCATCTAGATGTTATTTCAAAAGTGACTCCGAAAAAATTAAGTAGGCATGAAAACTTTCGAAACTGTCACATTCTGATCTAGAATTTTCTCAGGAATACAAAAATGTTACAATATACAGGGTGTTCCATTTGAAAATTTAGAACCGGAACCATTTCCGGTGAAACCGGAAGTGGCCAAGAAGTGAAAAATATGTGAAAACTCTCCTCTTTACACACCATTTTCCTAAACTGAATCTCATTTTGATACACGTAAAAGTCTAGAAGTTATGGCTTGTCTAATAGGTAGAAAAACAATTTTTCTGAATAATTTTATTCGCTCCATAAGTTCAGATCAAACAATGAGAAATCATCATGGTGGTAAAACGAGTATATAGTCCATTCAGAATTATATTGAAATATTTGAGTTCGAATTTTCTGATTCACGAAAATACGAGCATTCATCGTAAAAATAAAATATACATGGCGTGACAATTATGTCGCCATAATTTCGTGGGTTTCAATTATGCGACAACTGTTCACTATAAATTACCACCTATAAAGCGAGTATAATTTTCATCGAAATGTTTTTGGCACAATTTGTACATCAATAAATATCATTGATAGACCAGTGAACGAAAACGAAATGGAAATAAAATTTACAAAATAAAATAGACCCCACCAGAGTATTATTCTTTTCCACTTGTCCATTACTGCTTTATGATACCTTGGCAACGGTTGAATCATATACATACAGTGTGACCTACTTCTAATGGAAACACCCATGTATCTTACGTAATCGTTTAGTAAGGATCCTGAAATTTGCTGGAGCGATAGATATACCAAAAATGCACTCTTTGACCAAGTGGGGTCGTCTTCAGTGATATACACTGCTCGCCAACAGCCATGGAACCACCCCAATTTCCGGAAAATGATATCAGGAGTCAAAATAGGTCCAAAATCACTTCAGATTCGGGATCAGGACGCCCAATTCACTAAATATTCATATTTTTCCTAGAAAATTTTCAGTTCTGAAGAATTAAATTTTGTCGCACTTTTAACGGAAGCACCCTCGTATCTCACGTAATTAACTTCATCTTCGGACTTTCCCTTCCTACTGAAAAGTTCAGAACCCTACCCCAATGATTACGTGAGATACGGGGGTGCTTCCATGAGAAGTAATAAACATTTAATTTTTCTGAACTGGAAATTACCTAGGAAAACTATGAATAGTTAGTGAATTGGTGGTGAAGTGGTGATTCTCAACTTATTTTGACTCCTAATATGATTTTCTGGAAATTGGGGTGGTTCGATGGCTGTTGGCGAGCAGTGTATATCACTGAAGATGACCCCACTTGGTCATAGATTACATTTTTGGTACATCTCTCGCTCCAGCAAATTTCAGGATCCTTCCCCAACGGATTCGTAAAATACAGGGGTATTTCCATTAGAAGTGGGTCACACTGTATAACGTCCGCTAATTCGTATTCATCTTCATTATTTCCATAAGACTACACAAAGAAAGCAGCTATACACATTCACTTTATCAAATGGTGACAGCAATATTCAACAAACGTCTAAATATCAACAAATGCCATGCCTACCATGAGAAGAAAAATGGTATATTCAAATCGATTTTCCATTATAGATAATAAGATAATTTTTTCGTGAAAAATAATACTTGTATGTACCACGAGCACCAGGAAATTTTCTTGGATAACTTCAAATCCGCACGAAAAAAAAAGATTTGTTGCATCAACAAATTATTTATGCTTGAGTTATTTTTGTTGGACTGAGCAATTTTTTGTTGAATCAACCAGATACATGATTATTTCATGGAAACAGCTTGTTCAAATCAAGAATGTAGGCTAATTGAATCAACAGTATAATATCAATTCCATCAACAAAATATATGGTTTCTTCAAAAACAAATTATGTCGATCCAAAATAATGTCGATGTTGATTCAACTATGAACATTTCGTTGATTTGATCAAACAATGATTATTTTGATGAGATCATATCTTTGAAACAACATACTAGTTTTCTTATTCCCATGAAGCAATAAACTCGTTTCGAACGTATCATTTGCTTGAATAGAGCAACGAAATATGTAAAATCAATGAAATATTTTGTTCATTCTACATCAACTTAAATTTTCGCCTCTAGATGGCGATCATTTCGCCTCGTCTATGCCTGCCTCGAATTCATTATATACGTGAAGCCTGATTCTTCGTGTTTGAAATATCAGCTGGATAAATCGAACTTATAGGATGATTAGCAATCCGAAATAGGTTTCCATCAGCGGAGTCGACTAGTTTCCTAGTTTTGTTTATTCTATTGATGTGAAATTCCAGAAAATTTCCGAATATTGAATTTGGTTCAACAAAACAATTCGTCGAATGGATATATAGTTTCTCTTGAATCAACAAAATATTTCATTGAATTAACCAAATATTTAATTGAATAAACCAAATATTTAATTGAATAAACCAAATATTTAATTGATTCAACCAAATATTTCTTTGAATCAACCAAATATTTCGTTGAATCAACTAAATATTTGATTGAATCAATATCTTGTTATTTTGAATCGAACAAAATGATTGTTTGAGCCAATTCAATATCTCTTCATAAACAATTCATGGATGTGCTTGATCGAAGAAGATCCAGAGTTCATGCGAGACATATTCACTTGATTCAAACTTCAAATCCGCTCTGAAACAAGATATAGATTTGCTCATTTCAAGATTATATTTTGTCGTGCATATATGACACTTTTATTTGCTCCATTCAATTAAATTTTGCTTGATTCAGCAATTCCTTTTTTTCCGTGCGGATTCAGCAAACCAAAAAACAGCGAACGATGATAAAATCGACTACTGGATCTTTTGTACCGTAAAACTACCATTTGCAAGAATGGAGCAATTTGAAAAAAAAAACAATAAAAGTTGGTACCTCAAAAATCAATTTTTCAAATCAATCGATTTTTCACCATGATTTTCCCACAGAAAAATAGGATGGGATGAGGGAAAAAGAATGGCTTTATAAACATTGACTTACAAACCTTGGGAGAGGAGTAATTTGAAAGAAAAACGATTGGAAGTACCTTAAAAAAATCAAACAATTTTCAAATCAATCGATTCTCCACCTAGATTTCCCCACAACAAATTAGGTCCCTGAAAAATTCATCTATAGTCAGTGACTCCTCGATTAGATTCTAACAGACAGACTCTCTGGATCGACCTGGTTTCTGATGAGACCGATGATCATTTATACTCTATTATATCTGGATCTTGTTTTTGGAGCCAAGTATACCTCGCACCCTTTCCAAAATTCATCGACTAATGGCTCCCACGTGATTTATTACAACCTGTATTACTTCATTTATTATCCCTGACGATCGGTGAGGATTTTTGGCAGACTTTCGCAAAATCGCCGCTCAAGAAGTCGAAAACTATAATGATATAAACGATTTCGTGATGATTGATGAGAGGTAGATTCGATATCAGACAGTATAATAACAAGCTGCTGGAGCAGAGATGAACAGATTGAGTTTCACTAATCACTCTGCCTTCTAGGAAAATTATGAATTGATGAAAATCAGGGTGATTCAATTCCTTACTGGCATCGATGAACAGAATTCCACTGCATCTTCTCCTCCAATGTACTTTTTGTGAGAGAGCAGCTCCAATTGAACAAATTCAGGATTCCAAAGATGTCTTATGTTAACCTTCACCTATTTTTATCGCAATAATATGGTAACCATGCCAAAAAATTAGGATATTATCAAAAAGACCCCGCAATGAGATAAATTGCTAAAAGTGCATCCCAAAAACTTGGTTTTCTGTTTCGGGCCAGGAGTTATTTCACTTCCAGTCAGCTGCTTATGATCTATAAGGCACAGATCCAACCTGTCCTGGAATGCTGTTCCCACATTTGGAGTGCAGCACCCAAACATATCCTGAAACTGTTGGATTCTGTCCAAAAAAGAGCAATTCGTCTCGTGGGTGATGCCTCGCTCACAAACTCACTCACTTCTCTGGAACACCGTAGAAAAGTTGGCGATCTGGCTCTATTTTATAGATATTCTCATGGACGATGCTCTTCTGAAATATCAACAATTGTTCCTACCCTGTCAGTCCCCGCGAGATTAACTCGTTGAGTTGAGGCTTCGCACCACTTTGTGGTCACTTTGGAGACCTGCAGAACATCTCTTTCCAAAGATTCGTTCATCCAACAAACAGTGAGGCTCTGGAACACATTGCCAAGGGAGCTGTTCCCCGAGGCATATAACCTCCAGAAATTTAAGAAGAACACCAATTCCTTGGTTCTCTCTAGGCTCTGGAATTCATTGCCTGAGGAAGTATTCCTAACAAAATATAATCTCCAGAAGTTCAAAAAAAATTCCAATACCTACCTCCTGTCCCTATCCCCCCTAGGAACATTATAGGGATTTCCTTTCGTGCGCTCCAAGGGATAAAAAAATGTTATCTGAACATTACAGGATATCCCTTTTCGTGGGAACCAGAACATGGTATGGCAATATAGTATGATTCCATGAGGAAAAATTTTGTTTTGTCCCAAAACCAATTTCGATGAACCTAGTATGGTTCCATATCATACAATTCGATGTTTTCGACAAAATCTCTATTTTTATAGCAACTGAGGTTTGAAATGTCACTTATGTGGATTCAGAAAATTGAGCATAAATATACAGGAGATTCTATTTAAAAAACAAGTTATCGACAATCTTTATTTTCCTTCTGTCAAATCCAACTTATATCATTGGATTGAGAATTGTGATTCCAAATATCGATCTATAGTGTGATACAAATGTCTTCTCACTCCTCCCAAAGAATGGTTCTCATCTGGGTAACTCTAAAAAAGATAATAAAATCGCAGTTCCAATAAAATAGATAAGACTAGATCGATTCTTCAGATGGAATAGAAAAAATCGTATACCTGTTGCCTGAATACCACGTCGGCTGTTTCCAAAGCCTTCACAAATACCATCGAATTCTGATAGTGGACGTTATCATCAGCGTTGCCATGGATTATAAAATAATTTCTCCCTCTGAAATTTTCCACTACTCTGGTAAGATCACTGTTGTTGTAGCCAATTTGGTTATCTTCTTCCGTTGGCAGACCCATGTAACGCTCTGTATATATCGAATCTACGGAAAATAAGTATACCTAAATATGGATATCTGTTATGCATGACCGGTAACCTAAAAATCAATTTTGACATATGTCACGTGATAACTGGTATGGCGGTTAATCAGAAGTCAATTGAATTTGTTTGCCCACCAGTGTTTTTTCATTGAACTAACCGTAGTAAATGAAGCTGGTGACTGGTGCTACGGCTAGAGCAAATTTGAAGACATGTTTCGTGTCTTTCGCTAGCACCCAACTAGATGCAAATCCTCCATAGCTCCATCCCCAAATTCCGGTTCTCGTGGGGTCTATGTATGGCAGATTTTTTTGCAAATACCTATCCAAAAGAAAAATACTGAATTATTGTACAGGTATTCTATGTGATATGGCCACCAATATCACCCGATTCGATCCCTATAGTTCACTTACTCGTGATACTCACATTGTGACGGCGATTTGATCTTCAATTTCCACCGTGCCAAAATTCTTGTACATCTTGAACATTTTATTTTGGCCATCTCTTCCACTCCCTCTGCCATCTATGAGGATGTAAATGTATCCTTTTTTGGTGGTCAAATAATATTGCAGAGATACACCAAAAGAATCTCCGATTTGATTACTGTTCGGTCCACCATATCTGAAAGTAACCCGAAAGAAACAACATCACCTTTAGAAAGAACTTTGAGGTTGAAATACTAATATATTAAACAGTTGAGGTGATATTCTCATGGACTCTTTAGGATAACTTACGTATTGACAAGTGCTGGATATTGTTCGAAAGAATTTTCATTGAGATCAGGAGGTAGAAACAATCGCACCCTTGCTGTCAAGTTATCTTTTAAAGGAACCTCTAAGTTCTTTATAACAGGGAACATTTTCTTCGACAGTTCCTTCCTTAGTGAGTCATTGTCTTCCCAAATCAACATATCACTGGACTAGAAAAAAAAACATGTACATCTAGAAGATACCATCAAGACAAGTTAGTGTCGTTTGCTATGTTATTTGTACTCACGTTTCTGGAATTTTGAATGACGTAATAGCTAGGCTTGGGTCCTAGACAAGTCTTCAGGAAATATGAGTTCGATTTACTGAAACTGGCATCGGCATAAGAACAGTTTGTGCCTTCAATTGTCATGTCACATGATAAGCAACTTTCGTTACCCTGTTCATCCACAACATAAACATGCTGCTGCGATGGTTCATCAACGACAGTTGAAGTGAAATAACTAGAAAACACGAGTTCTAAACGAAGGAAATTATCGAAGGTGATAGCACGACTCACGGGTCCTTCAAATATTTTCGATAATTTTTAAAATGTTCTACGGAAACTTTTTTTATTACACTTCTTTGAAATCAACTTGTTTTCAACTGGTCAACATTGATAACGTCGTGGTCCAAAATATTGCCTGAATTCAAAGAAAATAACTCACGAATTTCCTTACCAATTTGAAATCGGTTTTCACCGATGATTAGCCTACTCTCTTGACAGTTTGTTGTGGCAATATGAAACTTCTGTAATTTGGAATAACATTGCTACAGGGTGATAATTGAATGGGTGTGAAATTGCATAGTGGTCTTCACCTTACCGTTTGAACAGATAATTTTTTTTCTCAACTGTATCCTCTTGATTGATGCTTTCTCTCGAAACGTTTTGAATATTCATTCAAAATGATGCATTTTTTCGTAGATTAATTCAATGAAATTGGAAGTATATCTCTTTTTGGGAACATAGCTATTTTCATCACGTTTGAACATATTCTTCCTCATCCCGGGACAATCTGGACATATTTTTCATCGCACCTTGTATATCCATCGTCAAGAATAAATAAATGCATTATTTTGATTAAGAATGCGTACCTTCATTATATGACATTCGATCCAAGAAACTACAAAACCATTTCGAGGTCAGACACTATAGACATCCTCATGACGAAGTAACACTCCATTATTTCACTAGTAAGACAGAGAAAATTTTGTTTCACCTACTGAAGACTACGTTATTCTCCATTCTATCATTCAGTATTTCTTCTTGTTGTTCACTTGTTCAGAATTTTCTGTGTTCGAACACAATCACATATCCGACGACTATACATACAACGTTGATTCTTCTAAAAAAGAATTCTAACTTCCCCGATTCCATTCAATTAATCGTCGGAAAAATGCATCATTTTGACTGAATAATCATAACACGATTATCAAAGATCTGAATATAAAAATTCCAAAAATGTTTCGAGAGAAAGCATCAATGAAGAGGATACAGGTGATTGAAAAAAAATTAAAAAAATTATCTGTTCAAACGGTAAGGTGACGACCACGATGCAATTTTACCATTCAATTATCACCCTGTATAGCAATGTTATTTGAAAGTTTTGTCATTCCTACAACTGTGAAAATAAAAATGTTCCAAGTATTTTTTTTGTGTCTTTTTTATGTTATATTTCATTATATTATATTGTCATTTTCATCGAAGTGTAATAAAATAGTTATTTATGTAATAAGGATCATAAAGACGATCATTATGGTACAAGGGCGAGGCGTAGCCGAGTCCGATAACACGGCGTGTGCCATAATGATTGTTTATGATTCGTATTACATACAAAATTTTATCTGATGGCATTTATATCAATACATTTTCGAAAAATTAAAAACTGCATTTTCGACATGTCACAATGACAACTATTTTTAAAGGAGTAAGTATTGTGTAGTTTCAAATATTAGTAGGTGAGTGAGCTGTGCTTTGCCATTATATTGATATTACAAATTGTGGTAATTGTTCTTTTACGATTTATAATAAATAGTTCTGTACATAGTTATGCATTTTGAATAAACTTTTTTGATCAAACCATTACATGTTTTCCTTATAGAATTTCATTATGGTACTCAGTACCATAATGAGCTTCCTTATGTCATCAAAATTGAGTGACATAACGTTGTCATTATGACATGCCATCAGATAAAATATTGTTCATTACTCGTCCAGAAGTGATTTTTCCGTGCTTGCACGATCTAACTAGTTTTTGAACTATAACCTAGGAATGTTATTGTTCATGAAAGAGTTTTTATGCAGGCCAGTGATAATTATTATTGATTCAATCATCACCCATACCTATCATTTCAATTATAGTTTTATTTTGACAGTTCAATGTAGATTATCGAGGACAATGCAGTGTTATCAGTATAATACCGAATGATTGGCTTGAATAACGGAATGCTATTGGTTGAAACTACAAAAAATTCACATTTTGACACGTGAAAAAAAAATCATATATTTAGAAATCAATGGTACTCTTACATCAGCTCCTCAATCTCATTCCATCCAAGTATAGATAGCACAACTCTTCTTCCATTAGTCAATCTTTTCTTGATACCGATCTCAACGTTGGTCAATACTATGTGATCGAATTTATCATTTCCTTCTACTTGAGGCAGCAATTCAACTTTCCTCCTACCATCTCTGCTATAAATCGGTATTTTCGGTTCTAGCCAACCATTTTCTGCCGTAGAAAAACTTTCCTGCAAATATTTACATCCCTGAAGCTCTCACCACACCTGCATAATTGTTCATAAATTGTTCCAACATTGTTCCTAATTAATATCGACGATCTGTTGGGAGTAACCACCTATCGACAACTTTACAGATCATAGTATATACAGGGTGTATCTTAATAACACCGATAAAATTGTGTTTCCTTGTGACATTCTAGCAAATAAAGTTCAAGAGATACAGGATGTTGAACTTGGAAGTATTAATTGTTTTTTTTTAATAACCCCCCTGTATGGACTTCTATGGTGCCAAAATTCAGTATGAATGGAGACTGAGAAATACGTATTGGCCAATGGAAGTATCCTCAAAAACTATAACCTCCAACAGTTCAAAAATATTCCCAATACCTACCTCCTCTTTCTATCCCCCCTAAGTACGCATGATGTTCTTTGAACATCATAGGGATTCTCTTCCGTGCGCTCAAACTCACCTCATGACAAGTTCCGTTTATGAAGCACCTGACTATCGCAGACTGATTCTGGATCCTGTTGGTGGAGATCATTGCTACCTCGTAATCAGAAATCCAGGTTAGATCATACAGGATGTAATCATTGGGGTTTTGGATACTGCTTGTAGGTGGCAATTCAAGCTCAATGTTCATTCCCATAGCAATTTCGTAAATATAAACAGATACTATGGGGTTTGGAGTACCAACCTTTGGAATAACGAAGAATCTTCAGTTTGCAGTGATTACATTTTCATTGGCATAGCTGAATTCTTCACTTACTTTGGGATATTTTATTTGGACCTCGGTGGGATACTGGTTTTGCATTGAACCTGGTTGTCCATAAGTGAAATATGTGAAATCTTTAACATTTTTGTCATCAAATTTTGCATAGGCAATATGAGTTGCTCCTGGGGAAAACCATAGAGCAGATCCAGAAGCTAGTACTTCCTCTACAAAAGGCCATATTCAGGCAAATCAATTCAACATTTGGAATAAAAAATTTCGCAAAAGTTCGCATCATTCTGCTATTTTTTTCCCATCATTAAAGTATTTTCACCTTCGTACACCCAATCAGGAACCCCACAGTAAACGACTCCTTTTCTGCCCTCTGTTGTGACTGTGATTGGGTTTTGAACGTCCATTGAAAAATCTTCAAGATAGTAAATATTATTTTCAAGTACGTAAACTAAACCATGACCTGTTGGAGCGAATTTTACTAGCTGCAGGGGTGTTAGATTAGCGATATCATAGTATTTCCTTGAAAAAACAAAAATATGAAAATAACAAATAGGGAAATGAACAAACATATTATGGACAACGATTTACTCACTTATTGGCTATGTCATATACAGTGAACAAAGCAGTAGTCGAATGTCGAAATACCTAAAATAATTAAAACACATTTTTTTTAATCTTGACATGTAATGTGACACTTTTCAAAACGGGCGGAAGTTTTGACTAGTGATGAAATGCTCATTTTAACACCAATTACGTAATAAAAATATGGATGGACGAGAGGATAGTGCATTTTATGCTATACTTCCTAGATATCACTCAGGATATCTGAATCTGAGTCAGACATTTCTCACTAATGAAAGTATCAAAATATTTCAACGAACAATATTTCTCGTAATGAACATAACAGAAAAAATTAATTCGGAAAAAACGTTTGCTAGTATTACAAGTTCCTATACGACTTTTTCAGTTATTCTGAATCTTCGATCAGATAAATGATGATTGCTATACTAGGTCAGTTATACTTACAAGAACATAAAAAAGAATCATGTCACCCCTGATACGAATATATTCTTCAGTTTTTTAGGTTATAAAATATTACTACGGGGTAATCAAAGAAAATAACAAAAATTATGTTTCCATTTTTGCTGATATTCTATCCGATCAATTGATTAAAATAATAATTCATAACGAAACAATTGGAATTGTGCGGAAAACTTTCTCAAAAAGTTCCTACAGTAGATTCATAATCTGAACTCAGATTTTCGATAATTATTGTACAGGGTGATTCATTCTCTCAATTACTTAACAAAGGAAAAAATAATATTCCGATCCTGATATTGATTTCGTTCAGAAGGCTTCTTGATGAAGCATTTGAGTTTAGTTCATGTATCAAATTCAAACCCAAGTCAGTAACGAAGCGATTTTTGACATTAGTATATAGCATTTCGCAATCATATTGGCAGTCCCTATAACTCCATGAGTTTTTTCAGTTTTATCTATACGGGCTGGGGTGAAACGGATCAAAATCTGAGTCTTTTTCAGCGCTGCAATCAAAGTACATTCCTTGAGAGAATGGAGAAAATATATATGATTTGTGTATCCTGCCTCTAGAGCTTGGTGAAAAAATAAAAATTCAATTATCATGGTCGATTTTAAAAAAAAAAATCCAAAGTGTGATCCGCTTCACCCCGCATTTTGGGGTGAAGAAGATCATACCTTTCAAATGTCCGAAAAATCACTTCAAACACAGCCGACCCCTCTTGACAGCTTTCACTGCCCTCTTTGAATATTCCACGTTGTAATTGCGATTGCCTTCTGGCACAACCTTTATTTTACAATTTTCTATAAATGTGAGCCGCTCCATCCTACAGCAAGTGAACTTTGCCGAGTTTTCCTCATAACTTTTTGAAAATATAACCTACAAATCTTAGATCTGGCTCAAACAATTGACAACAGACTTGTTCATGTCAGTTTCACGTTTTTTTGTTTGTATGTATTCTATGGATGAATCCTCATTAGGTAGGTTTTGTGAAACTGTCAAAAAAAGACCTAATTCTGAATACAAATTCGATTTTTTTTCCTTCCACCTGTACTTTGAACAAACTAGTTGACTGGGTTATATCAATTAATAAGCTATTTGTCGGTAATGAAGATATCTACGATCCTCTTCACCCCTCTATAATTTCCGTATCACTCCCGTTGGCGGTATGGATGCTGGTGATTTCATTCACCATTTCTGACTCGATTTTGAAAATGACCCCTGTGGAATTATCACCAATTTTGACTCAACGGTTTTATCAACTTACCGCTGATTTGTCGAATTGAATGAGAGCATATGATTGGTCGGGAGAAATGGTCACCTCACAACCTGAATATTTCTCCTGTAAATAATTTTGTCAGAGCCTTCTTGTGATATGTGTTTGATGAACTCACCAACACAGCGGCTTCCAATAAGATTTCAGCGGATTTTTTTTGTAAATCATACCTCAGAATATCACCAGTTGTGTTTCTGTATACGAAAGCGTCATCTGAAAAACAAAACTTGTGGAAATTTCGCGAGATGCAAAACAACTAGTACTGGGTGTCCCAGATCTTTCAGGCCACAGATATCTGAGTTAGCTAACACAAAAACATTCAAAAAATTGTGGAATATATGCGAGGAAAATCTCTCCAAGATCACCCTCATGTCACACGATCCACTAGAAATTACCACTTTTGATTTTCAAATTGCATTTCATTTTGGGTTCATATTAAAATTCAATTATAATCAAAATCATAGAACTTTAACCTGTTTCGGATTATCAACTGAAAAATTAGCTCCATTTCTTCCTAAACAGGACTTAAAAGTAGCATATAGCATCTATAACTCTATAAGATGGACCAAAACAAAAACATAAGGGTGGAATTTTAAAAACCAAAGTAGGGAGTAGTTCCTCGTAGATTGTTCACACAAGTTATATTTGATCTCATACTATTCTTGGAAGCTTTTGTCCCGATAAATTCCATTTTTTTTTTTTAATTTTTTGTAAGATGAACCAGATATCTGGTGGCCCAAAACTTCTGGGTTACCCGGTATAGAGTCAATTTGAGTAGGATGAATACTTACCAGAGATCCATTCACCGCCCCAACCGTTGGCTTGGAATGTTCCATTTATAAATTCATCTAGTTCAAAAGGTTCCAAGGGTAACTCATTTTTTTCAATGGACATTCCCTGTAGTCGACACACCATCAAAGTAAAAAAAATTGAAAAACACTGAAATATGTAAGAAAACGCCATGATTTGTGCTGAGTAGAAAATATTATTCAACGCATTCGATCTTCATTGCAGAGATTATCTTCACAAACTGACAGAAAGTTGATTCAGAACCGTAGATTGAAGGCTCTTATCTATAGATCTTCATTGAAATAATCCTATGGATTACCTTGGGAATAATTCTAACACGTTATGGTAAACTAAGCACACTTTATTCTTATCTATATGTTATCATACAATCCAATATTTACAATGTATTGACATTTGCATATCATCGAATTTTATAAGATCATGGTAATCCTCTTTTTCCTTTAGTTTCAAAGATAACTGAATGGGATTGTTCATAACCCATAATAATTATTGAGACTTTTGATTTCTGGATGAAGCCATTGAAAAATATTAAGCAATCAAAATGGTGAGATAGAAGATAAAGTTTAATGGTGACTGGAAAGTATGAATGTTTCCCATATCTGAGAGGAGCCATGTTGAATAAGTTCAGAATTGGATCTTATTACTTAAGAAGGGAAAAATGAGAAGAAGAAATAATAAGAAGATAACTATCAACTACTGAAAAGCAACTGCTAGCCTCCACTCCAAAGGTTTTGAAGAACTCTTCAGATATACGACATTAGAATAGACTGAAATTTTCCAAGGTCTGAGCCGCAAGAAATGAAAACCAAGAATTTCCTGCCTCTTCACCAATTCGATTGAACTGTAGATACTATTCAAAATAAAATACATCTTTAGGAAAAAAGGAAAACGATTCAATGGTTATCGTACTGTAAGAGAAGAAATCTTCCTTTTTGAAGTCGATTACAGTTTTCTACACCCCACCCGTATTGATTATGGCAAGATATCTACTTTCCATCAGATCTGCTAGATGGGGTAATGGTATTGCTATAAGGTTTGGCGAAAAATAAGTTTATTTCATTCTACAGTTATTCAAGAAATCGCACTGTGCATATTTGTTTATTTTCAATCGCCTAGCTCACTCTTGTAAAACTGGATCAATACCAATTCATACGTCACAATTGCTCCAGCCATCTGGAAAATAATAATTTTTCGCAATGGAAATCTTACTGTTGAAATATCATTTACTTTGAGTATGAGTCCTCTGGAAATGTGGAAGAAGTTTTTCCCGGATAACGACAATTCACAATTCGACACGTGATAAGTCAATCTCTCCACCTAGAAAACAATGAATCACTGAACATACATCAGGAGAAATTGAAAAAGTATCACCTCATCATTGTATGCTGATGTTCTGACATGTCCTAAGTAATATAGCATACTCCGCCATTCCTCGTATACAGCCCCACCAAAAAAACACAACCCCACAACTCTAGCGAGCAAGAAAGTGAACGATATGTAGAAATAAATTTTCTCCACTGTGTTGTCCATCCTCCTAAGACTGCTGAAAAGCTGGTAGAGCACGAAATACAAGTTGTTCAAAAAAGAGATGATAAGAATAGTTGACATATGTTCATTTACAATTTCACACAAATTAGCCAAGCCGATGTAGTCTTGTCTGATTGCTTTCCACTGTCGTATATCTTTCACCTGAAAAAAACGATGCAAACGAAAATTAGGAACCTACACTCCTCCACAATACTCATACTCTCAATCTAGACACCATCTCGATTCTCCTGGATATCTGTCTAAGCCTGAAGCTGAGCGCTGATCCAATCAGCATTATCAGAAGATCAACGAAACTCCAGAAGAATGTCCTCTGCAAATTCAAGAACTTCATCAGAGCAGTTGATCAGCTGATTCGAAAATGTTGTCCTCACCTGGATGAGCATTCCCAGCCAGAAGGAGTATGCAACTTTGTCAAAGATGTGGGAGTAAGCCATTGTGAAGAAGACTTGGAAAGCTTCAGATGGGTTCGGCTGATTGTCGAAGCAGTTCTTCAATTTGTACGCATTCACCAAGGAATGTTCCACTGAAAAAAGATTGATCAGTCAATACGAGATCAGTACTTGAAGAAGTCGAGATTTCGACTCGGAGAGCCAAAGGAAGATCTAATCAGTATTCGTTTCATTAGCCGGCTATCCAACTCTACTCAAGAGTCAAGGAATCTGACTTCAAGGGTTGAGGTATATTTTGAAATAGTGATGGGTGAATCGACATATTCAAATATTGTGATGAAGATATGAACCGAACGAGTTGAGTAGAACTTCAAGAGTCAAAGTAACTTCTCTTTTCCACTCTTGTATCCTTGATGAGATATCCATCTTGAGTAGTTGCAATACTTATAATAGCTCAAAAAGTATGTATATCTTACTTCAAGGAGTCTAGACGAGCTTTAAACTCCAAGAGTCAAGATGTGGTCTTGAAGTCACTTCTGAGAAAGTTGTATTTTCTTTACCCTACTATCGTATTCTGTACATTTAAGAGTCGAGATATCAACATTTTGTAGTCAAGACATGATCAGAAGATGAAGTCATCTTACTCTTGGTCAAGATTCACCTTTGGGAATGAGTTCTCACTTTCAACAACTTCCTTTATGGTTGAAAAGATTTTGATAAATTCATCAACATTTTTATAATAATAATAATAATAATAATGATATTTATTTCACTAGTTGAAAAGTACAATGCAGAAGCCAAAGCAGTTACATTGTACAATGACTAGGAAAAAGTCACAGGGAGTTGAACGTTAGCAAGACAGAAAACATGTTTTTTTTTGTAAATAGGAAAGACAGACACGAAAAATAGACAGATGTATGAATGAGTATAAACATATAATTAACTATTGTAATAATGCATAATATAGATTTATCAGGACCTCTTTTCCACAGTGGTTCGTCATAAACCTCAGCGCAAAATACTGTTCACGCAGTTTTTCCACAAAGTGATTCAATGTGCGGTGTCCACGTTAGTTTGTAATCTAATGTGAGACCTAGCATCATGCTAGTTCTACACGATTCAACGTGTAGCTCATTATTTTCTAAAATGTTGAGGGGTTCAGTAGCATTACTCGAAGTAAAATTCAGTAGAGTTGTTGCCGTTACATTCAATTCCAACTGGTTTTTATTCGCCCATGTAATTATTCTTTCGTATACTAACTCTAAAAAAAATAAAGGTCCGAGTATGGAGCCTTGTGGTACACCTTGTTCGATTGAGTATTTTTGATAACTACTTTTCGGGTTCTGTCGTTCAAATAGGACTTAATCAACTCCAAGGCAATTCCTCCAATACAATATCGCTCCATTTTTGATACTAGAAGCTTATGATTCACATAGTCAAAGGCTCTTGAAGAGTCTACGAATAACCCGCAGATATGATATGATAATAATGAGATGCGTTTACTTTGGGTCAGGTCGTTCTCACCAGATGATGGTCAAGAATGCTATCTGGGACCACCCATCTAACTTCAAGAGTTGTAACATGTTCTAGAATCAAGTAATTTATCAATAATTGTTCACGATGGTCTAGGAAAGGCTCGATGACCTAGATAACTGGACTAACTCCATACTAACACACTATTGTCATTTTTTTCTCTCTTTAACTCACCTAAAGCAAACACCATTAGTAACGTAGTCAGCCAAAATATATCCTGATTCAAATTTCTGCATATTTCATAACTTCTCATGTTACTTTCAACTTTGTGCCATTCCTTAATGAAAATCGGCCATTGATAAGTCAACTTGAGGAATAGGATGAACTGAATAACAGCAACAAGGTGAAACACAAAAGTGCCTGTAAATGACATTGTCTCATTAGGATCGAAAGAAATTTAGCGTTTTGAATTAAACATTTCTTTTAATTCGATACCGAGTATTTTGTTTGTTTGTTTCTTCAATTTAGGTCAACATTTTTTGCACATGGTGTCACTGATAATCATTTCAATCTTCATATTTTGGATTATATAGGGTGAAGACTTCAACTGGAATGAGAAAATTCAGGGATCACAAGCCAGGGTTGCATTTGATAAAAGCATTTTGTGGGTGATATCAGCAACACTTGAAAGTCCTTTTTTTTCAATATTGCTTGCAAAATGCAGGTGAATACATTGAAATGTTGAAGTATGACGGGCATTCTAAAAAAAATAGTCACTTTCCCCAGCAAATTCACTCCAGTTGAAGTCTCCAGAAACCTGGACAAAGGGTCCCAAAAATCTGACTTACTTATCGTTAAGAAGGTGAACTGAAATTGTCCAGTTTTGTATACGACGAATGGAAATTCGACGAGAAAAAATACAAAAGTGACAAGGGAATAAAGCATTCTCCAATAGTACCATTTGAATTCCAGGGCTGTAGTATTTAGGTCCATGGGGAAGAATCCGAAGTACTGGGCTAGTTTCATGGGAAATTTCATTGACATATGGAAAGAACTCGATACCAGTCTACCGTTGAGTACTATACGAGATTTTGCAGGAAATGGCCTAATCACTGTTTCCTGAAACATCGGCAACATTCTGGAACAAAGTTCTTCGCTTTTTTACTGTATCTTTGACCTACAGGTTCAGGTCTAACTAAGTAGTTAGTTCATAGTATGTACCAATAAATGGTTTTGTGTGCGTAATTCGATTATATTGTAGGCATTTCCTTTTACTAAACGCAAATAGTGCCGAAAAAGTTGGTAAACAGTCATTCGGGTTGTTTTTCATTCGGCTATAGCGTTGGGTATGATATTAATATAAATGAGGAAATATAGGTAATGGTTTTTCCAGTTATTACATTCGAGAGGTAAACATAATATTCCCCTGGAACATGTTATATTTTATTAGTTTGTTTTCATTTCGTACTTGAAATGCATTATCCTGGATCAATGATTGTGAGATATTTTCTACAGATAATCCACTTTTTCATTCATGTCATGATTAACCACTTATATTGGATGTTTTTATCAAAAAATAGAACGTTGAAAGATTATATTGATCCGATGTATCTGAGCTAATTTTTGTTTAACATGTAGAAAAGGAGCTCTTGTTTAATCTCGATGAAATGAACCATTAGCGAATAAAATTTATTTTTCCAAGATTTCATTTAAATTGCAATTTCGGTATGCACTTGAGTTTAATTATCTAGTTCAAATCATGCAACTGAATTTTTACCTATTTCTGATCGTTTGATCAACTTGGAATCTGGCA